GTATAATGGTTAAAATAATATTTTACATTGCGAACTATTCAACATATTTTAATCCTACAGAATTGCTTAGAATGAGTTTTTTTCAGGCGTTTCAAGTTTGTGGCTAATATTCATTGTCAAAATGTAAACGTATTAGAATGACCCATTTTAATGTTCAAATTACGCAACGATTAATATCGGATGTGTAATTATTCAGCGGACGAACTCCACATAGTTGTTTACAATCAACACTGTCTCTCAACGACAGTAAACAACTTACTGTACTTTTTGTGTGGGATTCAGACGTTTTTGGTAGAATGATAGATCATTATTTATAGATACATCTAAAAATTAGTGGACATTCAATGTTGATATTGCAAATGGTTCTACGAGCTAATTAAGAAAAGTCTCTGAGTTTCGCAGGGAAGGCACACAAAATTAATGTAATGCAAGGATTTACTTCAAATGTACGATGGGAACTTAAGTTGTTTTTAAAAGATATCCATTGAGCTTGACGTCATATTATAAGTTTTGTGTAGGTTAATAGTGATGTTTAAAGACAATACAAAAATCGAGGAAAGAGATTGAAGTGGAGGCTCTTGTATATCTATGCAAATTTGTTTAGATCCAATTATGGTAAAGTCTTCCCTAATTTGTTTTTGGTTTGTATTTTTAATTTTTTTTAATTTTTTTTTCCATACATGTTTTAACAATTCTATGCATTTCAATTTTCTGTTAAAACTAATTTTTCATTGGTAAATTTCACTGCTTGTGTGTATAAAGGCACAGTTGGAAAAATGAAACCCCGTATGCCACTGTTCCTTAAAACCTCATTACGCATAGCTTAGGCACAAACAATAGCTGCATTGTGGATTTTCACTTCAAGGACTGTTTAATGTTACTCTCCCAAACTGTTTTCGAGTTTCACCCCGAAAATAAATTTGCTTTCAAATCAGTCGGTTTAAATGTATATATTTCTTAGCAATACAAATGTTATTTCCTTTTGAACGAGAAATCAACAACAATAAACACCCACGTTTATTTGAATCATTTACTCAACGAATTTCGAGGTATTTTCGACCTGACGATAATTTAGGTGTATCTTTTTGTGCGCTTAATATGGACGCGAAAGTAACCAAAAACAAAAACATATTTCCGACGATTGAAAACGTCCCAAATAAATAATAATAAGAAAATGAAAAAATTAACTTTTTTTCAGTTCAAATAACACATACATTGAGAATTCGTTGGGAAACAAAGAGTACAGCGGCTACGGGTAGAGCAACTCAATACTATGTTTACTTGTCTTTTCATATTGTCATTTTACTGTCAGAAATATCGATGCATTGAATACGAAATATAACAAATGTGAGAGCATTGAATAAATCTTAATTTTAACATTTGTAAACAAATCCAACCATTGTTGCGAGTCTTACTTTTTTGCTTCTGATATTTTTATTGGTTGCTATGCGTCTTGGCTATTTCAGCATCAAAAGTTGCCAGAGTTTAGATGTTTTGCTGTCGTAATTATTCTTTACTTTGGCAATTCGTTATTGTTTTTGGAACCCAAGCCCCCAAAATTATATTTCATATTTAAAAAATATGTAGCACCAAAAATAATAATGACTGGAAAGCTAATTTCATAAGCTACTTTTGGGTGAAAAAAATTGCTGAAATTGGTCAATCAGTTAAAAAAAATATCACCATTTTAAACACAATGACCCTAAAACCTGTCTCGTCCAAAAAAAAATGCGATTTCAACAATCGTCGTCACAATTGTTTTCAAACATCACCAGCGATGAAATCTTAGTTTAAACGTTAATAATATGCCACAAAGACCTTTTGAAGGCCTGTCTTTTAAAAAAGTAGATTTTATAAATCATATTGCTTGCCTAACCAGGGTTGTTAATCAAAATATTGTGTGCTACAGTTGGTGACAGTTGTTGAAACAAGTATATATTCAACAGTTAGGATCATGACGCGGTATTTGTGAGCAAATGCATGCTGGTGTGCGCGTTCAGCGTTGCGCGTATTGCGTATTGTACCAAAGAGAGGGCGCTACAGCGTTGGGTTCAAACATTTCGTGAAAGGGTGGTTTGGAAGAGAGAAATACATTTTCCTCCAGTTTTGTATTGAAAAAAAAAAGTTCAAATAGGCCTATATCAAATGACAAGGATCTATATGTCAGTTATATACAACAAATATTGAGTGGCTTTAAATTGTGAAATGGGAGGAATATTATCGCTCGGTAAAATCTTGACTTTTCCAGTTCACCCGGCTTCACCTCGTGAAATGGAAAAGTCCAGATTTTACCTTGCGATAATATTCCTCCCATTCCACGCTGAGCCACTCAATATTTGTATAATGTACGGACAATTGTGTATTGCGCGCGCATGCCTCATTGAAAATAAAAGGGCAGTTACAGGCCACGTGTGAGGTTAGAGTCCGTATGCTATAAGGTAAACAACTTAAAGGTATAGTTCATCATAATTCGTAATTTGTGCATTTTGTTTGTTTGAAGCAACAAAAGTGCCCAAGATCTAAAGAAGGGTGCTGAACAACTAACCTGATGAAGTTTCAGCTCAGCTTTAGCTGTATATTTCGAGAAAAACAACATTCTATAGGATCTCGATTTCAAAAGTTGCTGAATCATGTTTTGAATTGGGCCTGGATTCTGCGTCCGAGACACATTCTCACACTGAGCCGAATGCAGCTACGCGATGTCGCGCACTGATCCGACGAATTATAGCAACCGGGCGCGCGTGTGCGTCGTGCTAATGCTTGCGCGCGCTTCGCCGAATAACAAAACGAACTACTAATTTGAATTTCCTACGGTGCTTCTTAAGAAGCACCGTTGAAAAGGCCTTCTTTTGTTGAATTCTTCAAAATGACAGCTTGCCAGAAAGAATAATTTCACAGGGAGTTTAGTCCCCTTTCTATCTTTCAACCATGTATGTTTTTCAACAATAACTACGCGAGTTACTTTTTAGATAGCTGCAAATGATGGACTCTGGCTTTAAAGACCAGATTTCACAGGCGTCCATATTTCATGTGACACCGGCGTACGGACTCTAACCTCACACGTGACCTGTAACGCCCTTTTATTTTCAATGATCGCGCAATACACAATTGTTTGTACATTCTAAAATAGAGACCACATTTTACACTGCACCAGCTCTCCCCACCACCCGTGTTGAAGGCATATGATCAGCTATCACACGCATTCGAACCGCCCTGAAATCTGCAAGGAACTTGTAGTCAGCTTGCTCTTCAATATTATGGTATATATCTTCTTTTGGCAAATTTCGGTTACAACTACAGACGGCCATTAATACTGATGTTTTATATTATAACGTACATGTATGTTTCTTATACCTATAATTCAGGACCTAGGCCTACATGTTTCCTGTTTTCAACTGCATATCGTGTGATCACGGACAGCTTTATAACTCGATCGACGGCCTGCGTTCTTATTCCATTATTTTGTGTTCGTTTATACGGCCTGGCTAGAAAGAATTTTGTACGTTGTTGGTCACAAACTGTGAAAACAACCACGCCTTGATACTGTAACATTATTAAGATGCCAGAGACACCTGCGCTCTGCAGTTAATTGCTATAACGAAAAATACACGGGCAGGGTTGGCGATTTTTTTGATTTTTAAAAAAAAAAATTGGATTTAATTTATTTAAATCAAATTTTTAAAATTTAAATCAGATTTTTTAGATTTTTTTTACTTTCAAAATATTGATATGTCTCAAAATGTGTCTAAATCTCCCCATCCACCCTTACACCCATCACTAAGGAATTTATTTCTTCTACATGTACATGTACATGTAGTCTACATCATTGCTTCAATGGTACATTAATACTGAATACACTTTAAAGGTGAATTGCTTGATTGATGCAGCTGAAATACGTTGTGTGCGGATATGAATGAAAACTTGATTTACGGTATACCTGTACATGGTATGCAAAAAAATATGACAGTTCTCCATGGGCATGTTGATTTCATAAAAATGCTTCCAATTTCAAAACCCGCAGCCCTGATCCTTGTGTAACTTAGTGTTTGATTGATGGTCCTTCAAACAAGGTGGAGAACAGAAATCAGGCCCTGCACCTTTATTAAAAGGTATTATGTCAATCTCAATCTAAATTTCTATGGAGAAACGTTTAAGAATAGCACTATAAATTGGGACTTTTAATACACCTTTTGATGGTTCATGTAAGCCTACACCAGCACAGTTAATTCACATTGTTACTGTAAACAGAACAAGGAATGATTAAAGCAAACTTGAGTGTGCTCTCCTAAAAATTAAAAACTTTGAAGAAAAACTTTTAAACTCAGGTATTGACTTATATTTTGCAATCAAAACAACGATTTTGTGTCATTATGCAAAACCTGAATTGAGTCGATGGTGATGAGGTAGGGATGTATGAATGTGTTAACAACATCTTACACTTTGTAATTAAGTGGAATCAGTTGATTTAAATGATTAAAATGACCCTCAATCAATTGATTTTGCCAAAAATAAGATTTTTACAAAAAAGCGATTTAAATCAGTGATTTTTATTTTAAAAAAATCATTTGATTTCAAACGCGATGAAGATCAGTGATTAAAATCAACGTGATTTAAATCAGCCAACCCCGCACACGGGTTTTAGCCTCAAATTCCATCTGTTGAATAATTTTGTATTATAGGAATTTGCAGTTCAGCCCGAATTTCGGTTCACTGCTCGCACGTAAATAAACGTAGGCCTGATAATAAACTTATGGAAGACGACCAGGTAGACGTCTGAAGAAACAGTGTGCGAAGCATAGACGGACCCCGAGTCATTTTGCTGGTGAATTCACGCATATTGTAACCAGTCCATACTTCATGCACACCCGGTCAGCCAGCATTATGCAAATAGAAATTATCTAGGGTCGACATTCTTTCATTGATTCCAACTTTTAACATGACTAATGACAAATATTGACATTCAAATCACTAGAACTTTAAGTTTTCGCTCTATTTCAGTCATGGCCTTCGGCGGTTGGTCTCGCGGTAAGATGTCCTATCAATCTCCTGTCTGTTCTGAAGATGGCAATGCGACTTATGAGAGGAGAAGTATCGAAGTGGAGAGAAAACGCCAGAGTTCAAGACACGCATGTGTTGCTGATTTTACCAACTATGTAACGCGTACAGATGACTTAGATCCAAACATTACCGGTGCTAGACCTAAAACACATCCCTGCATACCAAGGGAGAGTGATCGTCACGAGCAAACTATCAATAGGGGAAGTTACGAGCACCGACGTACATTAAGAGGTCGAGGTGATCCAACTCGAGGGAAAGAAGAGGCGTCGTTTCAGAAATCTGCCGAGCCAACTCGAAAGAGGCATTCGTACGGACAAACGTTTCAGTACCGTGGGGGATTCGGAAGATTTGATGCAGACAACAACAGAGGACGGTCAACACACTATAAGCTTGAGGCACGAGATGGAGCAGATAGAGAGAGTTACCAACCGTACCGTAGAGGTCCTCTCGTGCACCGCAGAAGCGAAACAGCACGTCTTGATGGAGTCTACCCGAGGACGAAGACCAAAAATGCACCTGATGATCAGTCTGAGACCACACATCAAATGCAAAGCATACCATTTGTCATGGATACAGAGAGACAAGAAGATAGGAACAAAAATGCACCAATCTGGTAAGTAGGATATCGCTAATCTCTAATCAAGTAGTTTCTAAAAAAAAAATCCAAAATAAAATTTTAAAAACATCTACGTTATATTATTTTGATCAATTTACCACGCAATGCTCTAATTCTCAGGACGTTTCAAGGTGTACCTTTTCTGGCAGACAGGACATGGACTTAGTAAATAAAAACAACTTTCACCAGCTCAATCTTGGATAGTCGGCCAACACTTATATTTACCTAGTCATATTCCGAAGCATTACAATTTAATACTGATTTCAGCTTGTTACACTTGTTGCATTTTATGTCCTACAGTGACACTTCAGCCACAAGCTCAGCTGATGGCAACATAGCTGAGTTGCAGCCAAAACTGGACACCACTGTACAAGGGAGTATCCACGAAGAGCCATACCAAGTCAAGCCTAAGACTAAGACGCTCCCATTCACTGAGAAGCAACTGCAGAAGTTCTTGGAAGGTAAACCCTCCGTTGTCCTCTCTGAACTTTCGGAAAGGAAAGATGAATGCATGGCGTTATTAAATCAAGACCAAATCAGTGACAGTACATTGCAATTAATACTACAGGTTCTATCAATCCTGTGCTCCTTAGATCCTGTGTCAGTGCACATTGAAGAATTAAACGTAGTACTAACAATGGTTGAGTCCTCGTTGTTTCTTAGTAAACACCTGACAAGGTTTTTGGTTTGGTTACCGATCGAGGAACCTAGTGAAATTGACGGCGAGAATGACAACGATGTCCATAGGCTGGGTATGGTTGTGAAATTACTTCGATTGTTCCTGCAGAACAAGCCGAGTAGCTACTCTGAAGTAGGCGGGGCTTTGATTCTTTTGGAGAAGGTTGTAACGTCAGAATGCCTTATGGTAGACCTCCAGCAATTGAAGATTAGCTACCACGCAGTGGAACAGGCTCAGCGAACAGCAAAGGAACGCGCCTCGGAGAAACCACCACCAAACAACTTCAGAGATATCCCAATCTTCCCCGAGAGCAGGGAGATTCGGCAGGTCACAAAACCGTTCCTGAGAAAGAACATAATCAAAGGCAGATACGAGAGCGTTGACCACTACCTTGATGTCCAGTTCCGATTGTTGAGGGAGGATTTTGTGGCGCCCTTGCGGGAAGGTGTAACCGAGTTCCTGTCAGATACCAGTAGCCGTCCTCAGAACATCCGCATCTACAACGATGTCTATATTCAGAATCGTAGAATGGGTATTGGTGGTTTGGTCCACACCTTGGGCTTTGACACGGAGCCTTTCGAAGGTTACGACTGGGAATCAAGTAAGCGTTTACTGTATGGTTCTCTCGTCTGTCTCACAAAAGATAAATTCCAGCACGTTATTTGTGCAACGGTGGAGAACAGAGACGTTACAGATTTAGCCTATGGTACAATTGAAGTTCGCTTCCTGAATGAGACTCGTAATCTGTCGGAAGGTCCGTACATAATGGCAGAGTCAGCAGCTTATTTTGAGCCATATCGCCACGTGCTGCATGGGCTACAGCAGATTAACGAGTACAATTTTTCTTTTAAGAAATATATCGTAGATGTAGCTTCCACTGTTGACCCACCAGCATACCTCTATTCTAGTCGTCCGTTTGTTAAGGGCCTAAGGGATGACGATTCTGTCACGTATGACCTTACTGTACTTGGTAAGAAATCAAGTAAGACGACTGAAATCCCGGTTTTGAAGATCGAGACCTGGCCAAGTGCAGAGGACTTGCATCTTGATGAGTCACAGAAAGCTGCTCTGCAAACAGCAATGGCGAAAGAGTTCGCAATTATTCAAGGCCCGCCCGGGACAGGAAAGACCTACATCGGCCTGAAGATCGTACAGCTTCTCCTTCACAACGCATCTCCTCGTCAAATGTATAGAGGGATACGAGTTCGAGGTGGTCCTCCGTCGCAATCGCCCATTTTAGTTGTGTGTTATACGAATCATGCTCTGGACCAATTTCTGGAAGGAATCCATCACTTTGGTGAATGCCGGATAATTCGCGTTGGAGGTCGAAGTCAGAGTGATGTGCTAAAAGACAGGAACCTTTCTAACGTAAGACGAAATAGAAGAAGGGATAAACGGGAAGTTGAAAAGGTCCAGGAACTACTGCGGGAGGGTGATGAAAATATTCGACGTATACTTCTCAAGATAGAACTGCCAACGAAGGTCCTACTGAACGTCAAGGCCTTGCAAGAATACATGACCAGTTCGGAACACAAAGCTCTTACACACCGACCAGGCAAGGCATCCGAAGAAGATCCACAAAAGCTTTTGGAGTGGCTTGGTGTCATTGAAGAGGGGAACGATCAAACCATTGAAGACCAGATCTTTCTTGAAAATTCAGCGTACGATCTGCAATGCATTAAACGCTGTGGTAATAAGCGTGATGTGGAACCGGTTGAGGAACTTAAAAAGCCTGATGTGATGACTGACGAGAAGGCTAACAGCGTCGATTGTGTCTGGTCTCTAAAGATCTTAGATCGCTGGCGTCTATACAGGTTATGGGTCAAGAGGTATTTGGAAGATCACAAAGTTGAACTTCAAAGGCAACGCCAGATTCATGATGACCTTTCCAAACAGTTACAAGCTTTAAGTTTGCAAAAAGGTGTTTTCCAAGACAAAGATCCAAGGATAGTAGAAATGCACCTGCAAGCGACAACTGAGGCAATTCAATTTCTGCTTCTAATAATTGAACTGCCTACCAAGGTCCTTTTGAACGTTTGGGCACTACAAAGGTACATGAGTCGTTCGGAATACGAAGCTCTTTTGATAGAACGCCAGCGAGGTCAGGAACCACGAGAAGATCCGCAGAAGCTTTTGAACTGGCTGGGCGTCATTGAAGTAAATGAGCATATCCAGGTGGAGGATGAGGGGCGACGGATTCAGATGGAGCGTCAAGTCGATGAGATGGACGAAGACATTACAACACAGAAGGAACGTCGACAATTCAACGAGCAGCCAACTTATCATGATGGTGCTGCATACGATCTAAGACACATCAAACGCTGTGGCAAAAATCGTGATGTGGAACCGATTGTGGAGCTTCAAAAGCCCGATGTGATGACTGATGAAGAGGCTAGCAGCGTTGAACGTGTCTGGTCTCTAAAGATCTTAGATCGCTGGCGTCTATACAGGTTATGGGTAAAGAGGTATTTGGAAGATCACAAAGTGGAACATCAAAGGCAACTCCAGATTCATGATGACCTTTCCAAGCAGTTACAAGCTTTAAGTTTGCAAAAAGGTGCTTTCCAAGGGAGAAGCCAAGGACGGAGGGGTTGGAAAGATCCAAGAGAAGTAGAAATGCACCTGCAAGCAACAACTGAGGCAATTCAATCTTTGGTTTTAAAAATTGAACTACCTACCAAGGTCCTCTTGAACGTTTGGGCACTACAAAGGTACATGAGTCGTTCGGAATACGGAGCTCTTTTGATACAACGCCAGCGAGGTCAGGAACCACGAGAAGATCCGCAGAAGCTTTTGAACTGGCTGGGCGTCATTGAAGTAAATGAGCATATCCAGGTGGAGGATGAGGGACGACAGATTCAGATGGAGCGTCAAGTCGATGAGATGGACAAAGACATTACAACACAGAAGGAACGTCGACAATTCAACGAGCAGCCAACTTATCATGATGGTGCTGCATACGATCTAAGACACATCAAACGCTGTGGCAAAAATCGTGATGTGGAACCGATTGTGGAGCTTCAAAAGCCCGATGTGATGACTGATGAAGAGGCTAGCAGCGTTGAACGTGTCTGGTCTCTAAAGATCTTAGATCGCTGGCGTTTATACAGGTTATGGGTCAAGAGGTATTTGGAAGATCACAAAGTGGAACATCAAAGGCAACTCCAGATTCATGATGACCTTTCAAAGCAGTTACAAGCTTTAAGTTTGCAAAAAGGTGCTTTCCAAGGGAGTAGCCGAGGACGGAGGGGTTGGAAAGATCCAAGAGAAGTAGAAATGCACCTGCACGCAACAACTGAGGCAATTCAATCTTTGGATCTAAAAATTGAGCTGCCTACCAAGGTCCTCTTGAACGTTTGGGCACTGCAAAGGTACATGAGTCGTTCGGAATACGGAGCTCTTTTGATACAACGCCAGCGAGGTCAGGAACCACGAGAAGATCCGCAGAAGCTTTTGAACTGGCTGGGCGTCATTGAGGTAAATGAGCATATCCAGGTGGAGGATGAGGGGCGACGGATTCAGATGGAGCGTCAAGTCGATGAGATGGACGAAGACATTACAACACAGGAAGAACGTCGACAAATCAACGAGCAGCCAACTTATCATGATGGTGCTGCATACGATCTAAGACACATCAAACGCTGTGGCAAAAATCGTGATGTGGAACCGATTGTGGAGCTCCAAAAGCCTGATGTGATGACTGACGAAGAGGCTAGCAGCGTTGAACGTGTCTGGTCTCTAAAGATCTTAGATCGCTGGCGTCTATACAGGTTATGGGTAAAGAGGTATTTGGAAGATCACAAAGTGGAACATCAAAGGCAACTCCAGATTCATGATGACCTTTCCAAGCAGTTACAAGCTTTAAGTTTGCAAAAAGGTGCTTTCCAAGGGAGAAGCCGAGGACGGAGGGGTTGGAAAGATCCAAGAGAAGTAGAAATGCACCTGCAAGCAACAACTAAGGTAATTCAATCTTTGGTTTTAAAAATTGAACTACCTACCAAGGTCCTTTTGAACGTTTGGGCACTACAAAGGTACATGAGTCGTTCGGAATACGAAGCTCTTTTGATACAACGCCAGCGAGGTCAGGAACCACGAGAAGATCCGCAGAAGCTTTTGAACTGGCTGGGCGTCATTGAAGTAAATGAGCATATCCAGGTGGAGGATGAGGGGCGACGGATTCAGATGGAGCGTCAAGTCGATGAGATGGACGAAGACATTACAATACAAGAAGAACGTCAACAATGCATTAAGCAACAGACTTATCATGAAAGTTCTGCATATGATCCAAGATGCATCAAACGCTGTGGCAGAAATCGTGATGTGGAACCGGTTGTGGAGCTTCAAAAGCCCGATGTGATGACTGACGAGGAGGCTAGCAGCGTTGAACGTGTCTGGTTTCTGAATATTCTGGATCGCTGGCGTTTGTACAGACTTTGGGTTAAAAGGTTTTTAGATGATCACAAGACAAAACTCCAAGAGCAACGTCAGGTGTATAGCGACCTTTCCGAAAAGTTGGATGCTATGAATAGAGACGAAAATCTCGAAATTCTCCAAGAGGCAAAGGTTATTGGCATGACGACCACGGGGGCAGCTAAATGTCGGGCTGTGTTGCAGCGTCTTTGTCCCAGTATCGTAGTAGTGGAGGAGGCTGCTGAAGTTCTTGAGGCTCACATCATCACTACCCTGACTGAAAAATGTCAGCATCTCATTCTGATCGGAGACCATCAGCAGCTGAAGCCAAACCCAACTGTCTACCGCCTGGCGAAGCAGTTCAACTTGGACACCTCTCTGTTCGAGAGAATGATCAACAATGGTATGCCTTGTCGATCGCTCAGTCACCAACACCGAATGAGGCCTGAAATCTCATATCTGATGAAGAAACACTTCTACAGGAATCTCTCTGACGATGAATCTGTTTTGAAAATGGACAACGTCAGGGGAGTGGCGCATAACATGTTCTTCATCGCTCATCAACACCTTGAAAGTAAAAGTGACGACAGCAAAACCAAATCGAATCAATACGAAGCAAAGTTTCTGGTTGGATTATGCAAATACTTATTACAACAGGGCTACGACCACTCTCAGATCACCATACTCACTGCTTACACAGGACAAAAGTTCTGCTTCATGCGTCTTATGGATAAGGCAACCTTTGAAGGAGTTAGAGTTTGTGTTGTAGACAATTTCCAAGGAGAAGAGAATGACATCATTCTTTTGTCTCTGGTACGAAGCAACAAGGAAGAATCCATCGGGTTTCTGCGCACTTCAAATCGTGTCTGCGTTGCGCTGTCAAGGGCCCGGATGGGATTTTACTGCATTGGCAACGGGAGCATCTTGAAGAAGGCAAAGCTGTGGGAGAACATCTTAGCTACTCTGGAGGCTGATAACCGGATTGGTACCTCATTGCCATTGGTCTGCCGAAATCATCCCAACAAAATCACACAGGTCACCTCGAAGAAGGATTTCGCGGAAAAAGTTCCTCTTGGGGGTTGTGATGTACCTTGCGAGTATCGGCTTCCTTGTGGTCATGCTTGTACTTTAATCTGTCATGGCTTTGATAACGACCATAAGGAATACAAGTGCAAAAAGCCATGCGTAAGAATATGTGACCGACATCATCCATGTCCGCTTGAATGCTACAAAGAGTGTAAATGTTTTGTGGAACTTACCAAAACGATGTCTGATTGCGGTCACGTGATCCAAGTTTCCTGTCATGAATATGATAGTATCACATGCCCTAAGCCGTGTCGAAGGTTGTGCCATGATAGTCAGCATCAGTGTCGAGAACTGTGTGGTGAAATCTGCCTGGAGAACTGTCCTGAAAAGTGCGAGCGAACTCTGCCATGTGGTCACTCATGTAGAAATGCTTGCGGTGATCTATGTACTGCGTATTGTAAAATTCGAGTCGACAGGACACTGACCAAGTGTGGCCACACTGTTCGCATGGATTGTGGTAAACAACCCGGCGAGTATAATTGCAAAGTGAGAGTTTGGAGAGATCTGCCAAACTGTAATCACCGGGCTGAAATGAATTGCCATAAAGATCCAGAGACTATACAGTGTCGGGGAAAATGCGAACGAGTGCTTGAATGCGGTCATCCATGTGAAAAGCTGTGTTGGGAATCATGTACTACGTTTTGCAGAGTAGAAGTGGAGAGAACTTTACCAAAGTGTGGCCATACCGTTAGCATGGACTGTGGCGCAAAACCAGATACGAGGAAGTTGGGTAAAATAATGTACGGACCTTCTACGGACGATCCGTACACGTGCAAGGAAAGATGTGAGAAGATGCTTGAGTGTGGGCATAGGTGTCCAAATGTCTGTGGTATACCTTGTATTAAGTTACCGTCACACTACCGTTATCTAAGATTTAGAATGAATGTCAAAGCATGCGACGAACCTGTGGAAAGGACCTACACATCTTGTGGCCACCGCGTGAGGGTTCCCTGCCACAAGGACATTTCGGATGTGCCGTGCTCAGATCGCTGCGAAAAGTTGTTGTCTTGCGGTCATCGCTGTCCAAGGAAATGCTATAAAAAATGCCCGCGTGAAACAATAGATGAAAAGACCATTTACACGAAAGCTCGTCAATCAATTGCGGCAGTGGGGGCATACCTTTTGTCAAGGTGTCAGGAGAGTTGCGAGAGGGAGCTGCCCTGCGGTCATAAATGTCCTAATAAATGTGGTGAACCCTGTCCACCTGTACAAGTCGAAGCAATAAAAATATACCTGTATAATGAGTGTCAAGAAGAGGTAAAAAAGAAGCTTCCGGGCTGTGATCACTACGTGAGTGTTCGCTGTTCCGTGGATGTCAGTTCGTTCATGTGCGAGGAGAAATGCGAGGAAGTGCTTCCATGCGGCCACCGCTGTCCAAGGAAATGCAGTGAAGTTTGCCCGAAGAGACAACGGGATGACGAAACCTTTCTCAAGGGTGTTCTTGGGCACCCGAGGGATGTCAGGGCGTACCTTTTGTCAGTGTGTCAGGAGAAGTGTCAAAGGGAACTGGCTTGCGGACACGACTGTCCAAATAAATGTGGTGAACCCTGTCCACCGGTAAAATCACAAAAAATACGGAAGTCGCCTAGGGGCATTAAGACCGAGTGTCAAGAAGAGGTGAAAAAGAAGCTTCCGGGCTGTGATCACCACGTGAGCGTTCGCTGTTCCGCGGATGTCAGTTCGTTCATCTGCACAGAGAAATGTGAGAAGGTGCTTCCGTGCGGTCACCCATGTCCAAATAAATGCATCGACCCATGCCCTGGGGATAGGACCTTTAAGTTGAGAGCCACGAGAGGTTCCAAAAAATACAGAAAACGTACAGGCCCACGAGAAAGATGCGAAGTTGTGGTCCAGAAAGCGATGCCATGCGGTCACAAGACTAAATCCATGCCTTGCTGGAAGGCAGAGTCTTCTGCTCATATACCGTGTAATTTTCCATGCGGTGCTGTACTTAAGTGTGGTCATAGGTGCACTGGTAATTGTGACAGCTGTAAGCAGGGCACACAACACCAACCGTGTCCTAAATCATGCAACAGGCAGCTCCTCTGTGGCCACAACTGCACTGGTTCATGTGGTGGCTGTTGCTCACCAGATTGTAGGAGATGCCGTGATGACTTGAGACAGCGTACCAGTCAAGATTTGACGTCATTTTCACCTTGTAAACACAATGTCACGCATCGATACCTGAAGACGAATGCATGTTTCCGACCTTGCAACCAAAAACTGAAATGCAAACATCCCTGCATTGGTGTGTGCGGTGAACCATGCCCTCCTTTTTGCAATGTCTGCGACAAAAAGAGTGTTCGAATCAATTTACCCAAAGGACAGTTTCATCTAAGGGATATGTACGTCTATCTCCCAGACTGTAAGCACCTGTGTCAGGTGCAGTCCCTGGATAGGACGGTTGCAGCTGTCAAGAACACCATTGATAAAGGCTGCTTTCAGATTCGTTACGTCCTGTGTCCGAAATGCAAGGAGCCAATTCGCCATTGTTCCCGTTATGATGGTGTTCTCCAGATCATAAGAGAGTCGATAAATACAGCCAGACAGATTTGCCGTCAACATAGCATAGCTTTGCAGAAGAATGATGGCGCTACGACACCCTTGTCATTTACCGCGGGCAAATGGATGAGATGTCGTCGAGGTCACGTTTTCCATCTAGAGGAAGGCAGCAGCAAAGTAGGGGGAGGCCAGGAACCAATTGCCTGCCCAGAGTGCTTAAAACAAAAGAGCAGTTAGACTTGTTGATTTGACTAGAATCTGAAACTGCGTCCTCAACGCAGTTATCAAACGCCAATCAAAGGTAGAATTGGCTTGAGATTAACTCCTTCACGTGAGGTAATGTGCAGGAACCGTGGCATTTGTGCGGGTTCAGTATGCTCTCCGTCATACCGGGAGAATACTCTTGCACAGAGAGTAATGCGCACGCAACATTTTCCTGCACTCGGGAGTAGCAAGAGTAACACGCTCGAACGCACCCCGAAAGAGTGGCGTGTGGCAGTCACGTGGTATACATACGCACGTGTGCGTGTAACAGGCGCAGAGTGCACCTGACCAATTTTCATTTTATTACAACACTGTATTACATTGTGTTTATTCACTGAATAATCAATCAATAAAACCAAATTGTGCTCGGGTGTTTTTTTGGCGCTAATAAGTGAAAATGGTGTATACAATATAATCAATATTATAGTGAAAGCGTAGCGTATTAGGCGTATGAGCCTAGTTTCTTTTTACCAGTACTTGTATCTGAAAAGATATTCACACTAAGTTTCGTTTAATTGAATATGCAGTAGCTCATTTGTTTTTAAACTAGATGAGATTTGTATGAGTATTAGATATTTAGAATCTAACTCCGGAGTGTAAATGTTACTTAATATTTACTTGCAAATTAAAACACAATAAATGCACTAAGTAACAATTGGGATTTTAACTGAAGCGTTAATATTTGAAAATCAAAAAACTGAACTAAGCTTATGTAAGTACGTCTGAACTTGTGTTGGCTGTATATTTGGTTTTACAGGAGAGTGTGCGTAGTCAGATGTGTAATAATTACAGTGCTAACAGTACTTTATATCGGTACGACAGTGAAAGGCAAAAGTAATATTAAAGGTGTTTTTCGTCCGAAGATAGCCAAAATGTACGTATATCCAGCAATGGACAAAGCCCTGAAATGATGGGCCTAATGTAAATATCAGACTGCACCCCAAATGATTCAAACAAGTAAATTATGACATGTACTGTCGGGAATCGGGTCCATGGACAATGAAAGGAGGTCATTTCTCGAGCAGCGTTTTTCGTATAAAGATATATCTGAGACTGTTAATTCAAGTCGATGATGTTGATTTGGAGAAATGGAATGTATTGTTATTGTTACTTCGTTTGAAGCTGGAACAATTATAATACGTGTTTTAATTTGATAAGAAACTTTGAAATTGATTGCTACACGGCGTTTGTATATAATTGTTGAGCATATTTCCAAAATTTAATTTGATGGTATTAAAATATTGATCTTTTACTTACATTCATTATATATTTACAGATTATAACAATTTATATTCTTGAGAAAACTGCTGTAGACAGGCATTATAACTGTGTATCCCTTTCTTGACCTAGTGAAATGTAGATTTCATGACATAAATAATAGATACAAATGATTTAAAATATACCTCATATATTTGGAACACAACATAAATTACACAATAGGTTTGAGTTATTGTATCCAGGAGATTATTTGCGTATTTTAATATCGTTTCAAGTTTATGTTTAATGTTCATTGTCAAGTGGGGCCTCATTGTGATCCCTGTTTACCTTCACATCACGCAACAGATTAATATCTGACACATGGGCGTCGCCAGGATTTTTCCAAGGGGGGGGGTGCCGAAGCAATTTTTTCCCCAAAATTCCTGAACTGTTTCATTATATTCTCAATTTGTCATTTTTCCGGAGGGGGGGGGGAAGTACCCCCCTTGCCCCCCCCCCCCCCCCCCCCCTTCGCGACGCCCATGATCTGACTTCATGTAGGTATTCAGTAACGAACTCCACATACCAAAGGTATTTAGTCTCAATGACTGTAAAATACTTTGCACTTATTGTTTGGGACCCCGACGTATATTATATGTACTATTTTATACACTATACTGTAATTCCATACACAGTTGGTGGTATCAGTAGATTTTTGGTGTTTTATATATCATTTAAAAGTACGTAGTTTGATTTGTATTTTCATTGTAAGCAAAATCTGCCCTTTTCGTAATAGTTAAAATAATGCATAGTATAATGGTTAAAATAATATTTTACATTGCGAACTATTCAACATATTTTGATCCTACAGAATTGCTTAGAATGCGTTTTTTTTTTCAGGCGTTTCAAGTTTGTGGTTAGTATTCAGTGTCAAAATGTAACGGATTAGAATGACCCATTTTAATGTTCAAATCACGCAACGATTAATATCGGATGTGTAATTATTCAGCGGACGAACTCCACATAGTTGTTTACAATCAACACTGTCTCTCAACGACAGTAAACAACTTACTGTACTTTTTGTTTGGGATTCAGACGTTTTTGGTAGAATGATAGATCATTATTTTATAGATACATCTAAAAATTAGTGGACATTCAATGTTGATATTGCAAATGGTTCTACGAGCTAATTAAGAAAAGTCTCTGAGTTTCGCAGGGAAGGCACACAAAATTAATGTAATGCAATGATTTACTTCAAATGTACGATGGGAACTTAAGTTGTTTTTAAAAGATATCCATTGAGCTTGACGTCATATTATAAGTTTTGTGTAGGTTAAAAGTGATGTTTAAAAACAATACAAAAATCGAGGAAAGAGATTGAAGTGGAGGCTCTTGTATATATCTATGCAAATTTGGTTAGATCCAATACATGGTAAAGTCTTCCCTAATTTGTTTTTGGTTTGTATTTTTAATTTTTTCTTAATTTTATTTTATTTTATACATGTTTTAACAATTCTATGCATTTCATTTTTTCTGTTAAAACTAATTTTTCATTGGTAAATTTCACGGCTTGTGTGTATAAAGGCACAGTTGGAAAAATGAAACCCCGTATGCCACTGTTCCTTAAAACCTCGTTCAGGCACAAACAATAGTTGCATTGTGGATTTTCACTTCAAGGACTGTTTAATGTTACTCTCCCGAACTGTTTTCGAGTTTCACCCCGAAAATAAAATTTGCTTTCAAATCAGTCGGCATAAATGTATATTTTCTTAGCAATACAAATGTTATTCCCTTCTGAACGAGAAATCGACAAAAAAAATACACCCACGATTATTTGAATCATTTACTCAACGAATTTTGAGGTATTTTAGACCTGACAATAATTTAGGTGTATCTTTTTGTGCGCTTAATATGGACGCGAAAGTAACCTAAAACAAAAACATATTTCCGACGATTGAAAACGTCCCAAATAAATGATAATAAGAAAATAACAAAAAATAACTTCTTTTCAGTTCAAATAACACATATATTGAGAATTCGTTGGGAAACAAAGAGTACAGCGGCTACGGGTAGAGCAACTCAATACTATGTTTACTTGTCTTTTCATATTGTCATTTTACTGTTAGAAATATCGATGCAATGAATACGAAATAAAACAAATGTGAGAGCATTGAATAAATCTTAATTTTAACGTTTGTAAACAAATCAAACCATAGTTGCGAGTCTTACTTTTTTGCTTCTGATATTTTTATTGGTTGCTATGCGTCTTGGCTATTTCAGCATCAAAAGTTGCCAGTGTTTAGATGTTTTGCTGTCGTAATTATTCTTTACTTTGGCAATTCGTTATTGTTTCACATGGCAGTAAGCCAATGAGCAGACCTCACAAACGTTTTCAACGAATAATTGTTTGGGTTCAAATTCTGAACAGAAAACCTATAAAACTGAACAGTGGCTTCCTGGAAGAACTTCACAGCAACGGCAACCTTAGCGTCCGGAAGAGCATGGACAAATGTAAATGATTCAAAGAAGTGTACTTTTCAATCAAATTGACCAAAAAGGGATGTCGAATACTCTTCATATATTTAAGAGGATTAGAGAGTTTCACAAAATGTTTCTTGAGAAAAATTCATCTCATGAACCCTTTAATGTCAGACTCACGTGATACACGTACATGACTAGCAAAATATACACTGACCCGAACTTTTACACATACATTGCGTGCGGGGAATTTCAAAGATGAGAAATATTACAGGGTGAGTCAAAAAAAGCGGAACCCAAGCCCCCAAATTATATTTCATATTTAAAAAATATGTAGCACCAAAAATAATAATGACTGGAAAGCCAATTGCATCAGCTACTTTTGGATGAAAACATTACTGAAATTGGTCAATCAGTTAAAAAAATCACCATTTACACACAACTCTAAAACCAGTCTCGTCCAAAAAATGCGATTTCAACAATCGTCGTCACAATTGTCTTCAAACATCACCAGCGATGAAATCCTAGTTTAAACGTTAATATTATGCTACAAAGACCTTTGAAGGCCTGTCTTTTAAAAAAGTAGATTTTCTAAATTATATTGCTTGCCTAACCAGGGTTGTTAATCAAAATATTGTGTGCTACAGCTGGTGACAGTTGTTGAAGCAAGTATTCTGTGTCATTTTTTGTGTTATTCCAAAACACACAATAACACACAATAAATTAGGTTTTAGGTTCATTGCGTTTAAATGGTGATATTCTTCGAACGGATTGAGCAATTTCAATATTTTTTTCATATAAAAGTATCTTTTGAAATTGGCTTTCCAGTCATTATTATTTTGGGTGCTACATATTTTTTAAAATATGAAATACATTTTTGGGGGTTTGGGTTCCGCTTTTTTTTGACTCACCCTGTATTAATTATTAATGCGCGTACGTGCTTGGACAATGTTTAAGTGTTTAGTGGGGAAACATCATATCTTTGGGCTAAATTTGACGATGATAGCCACTGGTTTTCTGATTATTTGCCTTGCACATTATACGCAAGCATGATCTGTTGAGTCACCGCGTACATGTGTCACGTTCAAGTTGAATAGCAGGCGACCCTACTTAATTTATGCTTGGGTTAATTCCGGTCTCGCTTCGGTGTGTTTGAGTATAATGTTTGGCGAACGTCTGGTGCACTCCGGAATATTCGCATTTTGTGTCCTTTAAACCGGAATGCGTAAACAAGATAACTGGTGAAGTTTGTACATTGCGACGGGTGGAGGTTATCGATTGGTCAACTGATTACTGAGCTCAGTAAGTTGTTTAAAGTTTTTGTTATCATTAACATTAATAATAATAATAATAATAATGTAAAATTCTCGATTCGAACCATAATACAACATTCCGACCAGTGATTTAAAGCAGCAGGCTACAACGAAACCACACTTGTCGCTAGGGAATATAAGCCATAGCTCTTCACGTGACATGTTCTACAAAATAATGTACGCTTATATACCGAGGTGCAAAGAAATATTTGTAGCCAGTACACGGTGTGCTAAAACGAGAGCTGTACCAACCTCGTTCCCATGGTGTCGAGCAGTACGCTCCCACCTGCTCTCTCACCATTGGATCATTGGCATGTTCAATAATCTTACACACGTATGCAAATTAGGAATAGTCTGGTGCCTGGCTGTGGTTTACATCAGCGTTTGTTTTTCTATTAGGTGTCGTCGTGGCGTGAATTATGAAAACACGATTATTTTTCAAAGTTAAACTCAGTAACAATTTTATCTAGTTAATATTCAGTATCACATTTCATATTAATATATAAAGCGAAGTGGAATAGGGAGGATTGTTTGTGAGGTGGAGTGGAAGTTATAATTCACAGCAAACAATATAATACGTAAAAG